ATATATATATATATATATGTTTATAAATACCAATAAACATTTTTCTAATATTCTTTGATATACAAACAAAGCAGAAACTCTCTTACCCTAAGTGACCAGAATCAGTTTTTGCTTGGTTAATGAAAAAATTCAATTAAAATGGAAAATTGTACACACACCTTAAAAAATGCATTTAACAAACATATGAATATACTATTTATTTAATTAAATATAGATAAAGTAAATAATTTTAAATTTTATCAAAAATTAATTTTCTTTTTTACTGTAAATGCTTCAATTTATATTAATTCTCAATAATGATTAAATTATTTTATTTAAACATTGTGTGTGTCAATAAATTGTTAAGTTTGCATTCTCTCATTACTTTGTCTTCAGAATATAGAGTAGAAAGTAGTTAGATAACTGATCCTGCTTTAGTCAGTTCAGATTAACAGAGTTTCTACTTTTTTCTTTTAAAACAATGATACTGAATACTGTATTAACTATTTATAATAAATTATTAACTAGCCCAGTTTCAATAGTAAATTGTAAAAGAAATACAAATGGTAGACAAGAACAAAAACAAGATGAATTAGATTTTGAAAGGAACGCGCGTTATAGGGGGTCGACTGTATAAATACTAGCTACATACTTAATTCAAATTTATTGATTCCAAAAATTAATTATTGATGTAATTACACATAATTTTACTGTATTATCAATAGTAATGTTTCAATAGTAAATTGTAAAAGAAATACAAATGGTAGACAAGAACAAAAACACAATGAATTAGATTTTGAACAAAACAGAAGAAAAAATGCTGAAATAATATCTGATTGGAATTATTCAGATCTGAGGTAAAGATATATTTACATAAAAAAGTTTATTTTCATATTCATTAATGCTTTTCATAAAATTATATAAATAAATTGTTATCCAGAGACAATTTTGTTTTACCAAACTTTTTTGTTTTTGTCACTGATTTGAACTTTGAATTGAATTAATAATACAATCTAAATATTTAAAAGTGTAACTTATTTCAAATTGGATGATTTTACTCTCCATATTTTAATAGTTCACTAAATTAAAGTATTGATATTTATTAATATGTTATTACTATTAAACATTAAATAACAATCATATAAACACATTGCAATATTTCTAAATAAATAACAAAAATTAATTCTTCTAAATGATAATGTATTTATATCTTATAAAAATTGACTTTATTTTTATATTAAATAATTCATATAATATTTTCAATTCATTAAAATTGAAAAAGATAACCAGGCAAAGAAAATAGAAAGGTACATGTAAAGTTGAATTTTCGCAGATATATCTCATGCATGCCACAATTTTTATATTAGTCCAATATTTAGGAGGCATCTAAATTACAAGCAGCTATGCAAGCAAATGAATAGCTTATCCATTTCATATGAAAAACTATTTTATTGGTTTATTTAGCAGCCTGCTATTTGGGGCACATTGTTTAGTAAATATGGCTTTAATATAACTGAATAAGCAAACCAATGACAACCTGTTTCATTTAAAATGGACTGTCATTGCTTTGCTTATTCAGCTGTATTAAAACCACTTTACTAGACAATGCACTTATAAGCAGTCATTATCAAATAGTGACATCAGCAAAGGCAAATAAATAATTATTTCAAGTTACTCAGTACTGAATTTTAACATTATTTTTTAAGCAAAATTCCAAAATAAAACTTATATTCATAATTACAAAATTTCTGAACAAAAATAAGTTTTATTTTCCCATTTTTTCTACATTTTATTTAAAAAGAGTTTTGTTGGGTTAAAAATTAACAATTGTTAATAAATTAATTAAAATAATAAAATCTTTAATGAAAATAATGTCAAATTTGATAAAATCACAAATCTTGTTGAAAAAAATTAAATGATTTTCAATGTTTTACAAATAGATATATTAAAAATTGACTGTCTTATTTTATTATTTTCAGATAAAGTATTTCATAAAACTAATTTTTTAATAAGTTATAGATTTATATATATTTTATTCCAATTACAACATAATCTACTAGACTAAAAAAAGAAGAGAAATATTAATGTAATGAGGAAAAATAAAGAATATACTTAAGAATAACATGAATCAATGTGTAACTTATAATTTTAGCCACAATCAATAAGGCAAAAACTGATAAATGAATTTTCTGATTTCCTTGAAAAATTAGTGACCTATTTTCTTTATTTTAATAATAATAACTTGAAATATTTTAAAATCCAATATAATTATTTTATTTCCTTTTAACAAACTCAAATAACCTTGAGGAAGCAGCAAAAAAGTTAACAAATGTTTTTGGATGTTTTTGTGGCATTCTATTACATATTCTACTGGAAGGTCATTGAAAATGTCCAAAAATGTTTTAGTTATTAAATTTTGGCTGCTTTCTCAAGGTTATTTGAGTGTGTTTGTTATCTTTGCATGGCAGCTCTAAATTAGTATTTTCTTTTAGCAATTCTCATGTGATACAATATATCATTTCAATATGAAATATGAAAAAATTATTATTATTAGAGTATATTAAAAATTATTGAAAAATATTTTTTAAAAGATTCTATAATTAAAAATATCATTTTTCTATTTCTTTCATAAAACTATAAACACTAATATTTATAATTATGATCCTTCACTGAATATAACAAAATTAGTATTAAATTTTTATAATTATTATTAATTTCATTTCAGCACATGAAATTCCAAGACATGACAAGTATTGGAAGAATAGATTACACAGAAACCAAAACTTTCATTTAAATCAAAGATTTCCTCAATTAACTAGTCGTCATAATTATCAGGAAGACAATTGGAAGTTGATTAATGATCAAAATTTTAATAAAAATGACCAGTTTGATTCTAGACATGTATACAATAAGGCTTTTCCTACAAAAGTGCCTCTTGATAGAAGTGAAAAATGCCCAGTTTCAATAGTAAATTGTAAAAGAAATACAAATGGTAGACAAGAACAAAAACAAGATGAATTAGATTTTGAACAAAACAGAAGAAAAAATGCTGAAATAATATCTGATTGGAATTATTCAGATCTGAAAAAAACTAATCATTGGAAAAATTTACATAAATACCAGCCAGATAAAATATATCACCAAAAAAATCCAACTTTAGAAGCAATTCTTGTAGTTCAGGAGGAAGAAAATCCATTAAGAGAAGAAAAAATTACATCATCTACTAGAAGTGCACCACATCACAACGAAAGAATAAAACAAATATTGTCTCAAAATAATTATGATCCTTTAAGAATGGAAGCTACTGCTGGATCTCCTCATTTTGCCGAATCAAGAGATTATTCATCTGTACGAAATGGATTTATTCCCGTATCAGGACCATTTGGAAATTCAGAGCATTATAATCCAAGAAGTAGACAGAGCTATTTATCCAAATTGGAATCTCAAATTTCTCAAGAATATGTAATTCGTAATTATCCCACTCAATCCAGAATGGAAAAATCATATCACAAGAATAAAGCTGGTAGAGTGGCATTGGGAAGTGGAAATTTTGAAATTTTACGTGGAGGTACATTCCCTGAAGGAGATGATTTCACATATCCACACCAGCAAATGAGTGATGCTTTATTTGAGAGAGATATCTATCATAATCCAATATTAGGATTTCAAGGATTTAATCATTTTAATTCTCCTCTTCAGGGTTCTCTATCTAACAATGTTCATGTTTCATTATCTCCAGGGGATTCTGGAAATTCTCCTAATCACTTCTTTCCTACTTCCATTAATCTTCAAGCAATATCATAATGATGAAAAATCTCCTACTTACAAGAAGTTTGACAACTCTTCAAAGAAAATATTTAATGGCTGCATTCAGCAGACTGAACAGTTCTAAGCTGTTGAGTATTTTTCTGCTGAATTCCCTCTACAGTAGTGCTGTTTCAGAACATGTTTGGTGTTTTGACATCACATTCAGTAGTGTCTTTCATTCATGCTACCTATTGCTAGCTGAAACTGACTAATGATAGCTGCTTCCTGTTCCAGCACATATGTCACTCATCATTCAGCAGATGCAACTACATAACAGCTACCGATTGAAACACCTTTGCTCAATTACAGTTGTTGACTCTGATGAATGCAGCCAATATGTTACAAGTTAATATGTAATATTTACTGTACTTGAATCCATTATTGTTATACTTTTAATCAGTTTGTAATATAACTTGTGTATATAAAAAAATTTTAAACCAATTTATGCTTTATAAATTCCTATTTATATTAATTGATAATTAGAAATACAGTATAATTACCACTTGAATTGTGATTTGTATTCCATCATAAAGCCAGTTTTGTTCTTATGCAGGAAGATCCATTTTTGACTATCAATTTAAAAAAAAAAATTAATTAAAAGCAATTATTTTTACTATCACAAATGTTTTCATTTGTCTAGAAAAGTAGTTCCCAAAGTGGATGCTACCACAACCTGTGGGCAATGAGTAAATCTAGGGGGGAGAAAAGAAGCAAGTGGATGGCAGGGGGCCACTGGAGGTAAGGTAGCATATCATACAAACTAAAAAAAAAAGTCTAACTGACATGTTACAAAATTATCATAAGTCCTGGGAATAAGGGTGACCGTAGGCAAAGGTTGGGGTCACTGATCACCTTTTCCTTTCCTGTTAAAACAGGTAAGAAGAAACATTGCATTTAAAGATATATATATCTGTATAGATTATTAAATATATAATAAATCCCATTAAGACTAAAACTTAGATTATATAGTCACATCTTGACTTATTGATAACTGATGTCTATTAATAATTTACTAAAATTGTCAACACCACATAAATACTTAAATCTTAATCAATAAATCTATAACTGTATAACAATGTATATTAAAATTAAAATATCCCAAATAACTTGTATAATATAAATATGAATGTACTCTAAGCCATCAAAGTCTCTGCCATTTCTGTTTTGGTATTTAAACTTTGCAGTAAAATGGTAACTACTATCAAAACATCCGATTTTAATATTCTATAATTTTATTTATAATTTTCTGTTTATATTTATAAATAAATCTTCACATTGTAATATTAAAAATGCCAATTTTATTTATCATAATTTTATATAAATACTAAATCTCTTTAAATAAATTTCAACTGTTATACATAAATTTATATGCATATTTATATAACTTAATATCTGTGATATCACAAACGTTATCTACAAGGTTCATTAAATCTTGATAAATGTTGAATGTGTTTGTGTTTATTTTGAACATCTTGAAAATGCTGCAGCAACTCTACAAAATTAATTTCAGGTGGAGGTGTTTCATCGGTTGCATTTCTAAAATAATATTTCAAAATATTCTCATTCAAACACAAAACTTAATATTTAATAATTTTAATATAATTAAAATATTCTTACTTGTCCATTGGTGGCATAAACTGGATATTAGGCACACAAGAAAGTCTGTGACGTAGCGTATGGAAAGCATCACTTTGTGGAAGTAACATCAACAATCCATATAGACTCTTCACCAGATATCTATTTTGTTGAGGTTCCAATAATTGAAGCCTTAAATCTAAATAGAGAAAATGTGTAAATTCAAAGTTTAAAAATTTTAGATTTACTAATACTTACAAGTAAAAATTGGAGATTCTATTAACTGTACTAGTTTATCAATTTCAGTAAGAAAATCTACAGTTACTTCCAGATCACCACTGTTTTGATTTTAAAGAAAATATTTATATACAGTATTATACACAAATAATTCCCTATAGCAAGGAATTGTAAATTCAAAGTTGAGAATTGCACCGTATGAATCCGCAAGGACGGTTAAAGACGAAAGAATAGCACACAAAATTGTGGAAGTTACAAGTGACGAAAAATCTTTTTTCAATGTCGCAGGTATAAAATCAAAATTCTCCATTGTTTGTAGTTCGTAGTCTATTTTATAAATTGAATAACGTTTTAAGTATGTTATTAGTTATATCTGTGGATGGTAATAGAGCAATGAAAAATGTCACGAGAATAAACAGGAAAGGCAAATGTATAATTGTGGACAATCTCGTTTTAACAGAAAATGCTTTTACGAAACGATTTAAAACTTTAAAAGCTCTAACGGAATACGTAACCGTCATGTATANATATAACGTTTACCTAGATTATATCTTTTAATTTATATGAATGTTTAACAGAATAATATACAGCCTATGTCCACCTTGAAGGTCCATTCTAAGTATTGGTGAAAGAATTTTGGAAATCAGATGAGTAGTTTCGGAGATTACCTCCTACATCCAAATTTTACCTCTTTATAATATTAGTATAGAAGTATAGATAAAATAAAATAAATTTATTTATAATTATTAAATTTAACAGGAGATGGCAGCCTAACCTTCTACCTCTCACCAAATTTCTTAGTAATTATTTAGCATTAATAGCCTAATACAGAAATCTAACTGTTCATTTGATATTCAAAATTATTATTGGGTTGGTTGTATTCCTTAAAACTAATATATTAAAATGAATATTTGAGAATGTTCAATGTTCTAGAACAGGGTTCTCAACTTTTTTGTATAAAATTTTTTCCACCAACTCCCTTCAATATTATACTATACTGTAACAACACTTTATCAATGTTCTTATACTTTATCTGAAACTTACAACATATTTGAAACAATTTTTAGTACATTACTAATCTCTCTCCTAGCCCAGAGATTTTTGCAGTTGTCACATTCCACTTTTCAACTACTGTTCACTAGTGTCACACCATGAAAAATATCCCGAGATTTGTTACAATACTATATACATTATATATATGCTGTAGCCTCTTACATAATTTTTAAAATCACCTTCCTACATTTATTTAAGAGCAAAAAAAATGTGCAAAATTTAATATTTTTAAATACATTTTTTTTATACTTGCAAAGTTGTATCAATCCACTCAAATTTTCATTGATCCTGTTGGGAACCCTGTTCTAGAATTTCTAGACTTGATTTATTCTGAAGATAATGATAAAATGAATAAAAAAATATATTAAACAATACAATTTGACTTCAAAACTATATTAATTAAATTTTCATAAAATTAAAGCAAATATTTTATCTTATTCTATGAAGTTATTGGTAACTAAACAGCATCTAAAAGTATAGAAAAAAATCCTGTATCTATAATTTCTTATATATAAATTGTTTAATTAAAATACACTGTTTACTGCTTTTCTTTTGATATTTTGTGTTTGTTTTGAAGACTTTACTCCATTTTTAAACTATTGAAATTAAATAATTACTAAGTAATTTGGGAGGATGTAGGTGGTTAGGCTGCCATCTTATTAAATTTAATAATTACAAATAAATTAATTTAATTTTAGAATAATCTAGAAGAAAAGATTGACCCAGAGTGGGACTCCAACCTACAACTCCTGCTTACTATACAGATGTATTGTCAGTTATGCTACCCGGACCTCCATTCAATCTTTGCTTCCAGACTAATTAACTTATTTAGTTATAATACTATATTGGTCAACCAATATGATAGCTAAATTAGTTATTTAATTAATTAATCTGGAAGTGAATATCAAATGAAGGTCCAGGGGCATAACTGACAATGTGCCTGCATGGTAAGTAGCAGTTGCAGGCTCAAGTCCTGCTCTGGACGAATCTTTTCTTCCAGAATATTCTAAAACTAGCAGAAGAGCCTGGCGTTGCTCGAACAAAAATGATAGCAAAGATTAAGATCATTAGATTATAGCTGATCTTACCTGTTTTCACTGAGTGCAAGAATTAGGTCTCCCCTCTTCCGAGACAAATTAGAAAATTTTTAGATATCTGCTTACCACATTGGGATAACGATAATTAAGATTCACAGCAACCACTAACCAGTGCATAGTACCACTAAGTGATAAATAACAAACGTTTTTGTAACTGGGTTCTTCTAGTTTACTAAATTCGAAAAATAAGTTGGATCTTCTCAAATCATTCATAAATATAAATTCAAACATAAAATTGAACATTAAGACTAAGAGTTTGAATAAAGTGAACTTATGTGCATGCATTCCCCGTGTCAACTTTATATACTATAAGTTTGGACATGTGCACTGTGTATCTCGCCGATCATGCAACTGCACCGCACAGTTGTTATCTATCTCATATACGTATGTGTCTTGCCCCTCACCACCTGCTGACACCAAAAATATAACGTTTACCTAGATTATATCTTTTAATTTATATGAATGTTTAACAGAATAATATACAGCCTATGTCCACCTTGAAGGTCCATTCTAAGTATTGGTGAAAGAATTTTGGAAATCAGATGAGTAGTTTCGGAGATTACCTCCTACATCCAAATTTTACCTCTTTATAATATTAGTATAGAAGTATAGATAAAATAAAATAAATTTATTTATAATTATTAAATTTAACAGGAGATGGCAGCCTAACCTTCTACCTCTCACCAAATTTCTTAGTAATTATTTAGCATTAATAGCCTAATACAGAAATCTAACTGTTCATTTGATATTCAAAATTATTATTGGGTTGGTTGTATTCCTTAAAACTAATATATTAAAATGAATATTTGAGAATGTTCAATGTTCTAGAACAGGGTTCTCAACTTTTTTGTATAAAATTTTTTCCACCAACTCCCTTCAATATTATACTATACTGTAACAACACTTTATCAATGTTCTTATACTTTATCTGAAACTTACAACATATTTGAAACAATTTTTAGTACATTACTAATCTCTCTCCTAGCCCAGAGATTTTTGCAGTTGTCACATTCCACTTTTCAACTACTGTTCACTAGTGTCACACCATGAAAAATATCCCGAGATTTGTTACAATACTATATACATTATATATATGCTGTAGCCTCTTACATAATTTTTAAAATCACCTTCCTACATTTATTTAAGAGCAAAAAAAATGTGCAAAATTTAATATTTTTAAATACATTTTTTTTATACTTGCAAAGTTGTATCAATCCACTCAAATTTTCATTGATCCTGTTGGGAACCCTGTTCTAGAATTTCTAGACTTGATTTATTCTGAAGATAATGATAAAATGAATAAAAAAATATATTAAACAATACAATTTGACTTCAAAACTATATTAATTAAATTTTCATAAAATTAAAGCAAATATTTTATCTTATTCTATGAAGTTATTGGTAACTAAACAGCATCTAAAAGTATAGAAAAAAATCCTGTATCTATAATTTCTTATATAGAAAATAATCATTTAATTTTCATTCAAAATATTAATCAATCTGCTACAGTAAAAAATTTATTAATTACTTAATATAAATTTTTCACAAATTCAATTTATAACTGTTACAATATTCAATTACACAACAATGCTCATAGTTTTAGATATTCCAAACTATAAGTATACAAGTTTGAATTATTATGTCAAGCAATACTTGATTAAAATGTTTCTTTACCACATTTTTCCCAGATTACTAAAATGATCAGCTCTAAACATTACTCTCAAATTATTTTAATTCTTAAGACTAAGAGTTTTAACAACCAAATATTGTCTTTAGTATATTCAAAATAGGATACAACAGCTGTAATAATTTACAAGCATGTTCATAGTTTTGTGTAAGAAAACACAAAGAAACTGTTGCAACAGGACTATGACACCAGGACCGATATAAACAACAGAAGAGAGATCTACTTTCCTGAAAAATATAAATCAAATAATTATCAATACAATTAAAATTCAAAAATATCAGTAATTATTGAAAAAGCTAATAGATAATATGAATAACACTAAATATTTAAAATAATTTTTATTTTATTTTAAAAATAAAAATTCCCATTTTCTAAAAGCTAAAAATTTTATTTCAGTTTAAATTACTTAAACTAATCATTTATCCAGAGTATAGAATAAAATTATTTATATGTTTTCTTCTACATTATTATATCTAAATTTTCGGGTTTAAATTAAGAAATTTAAAAATAAACAATTAATGATAAGAAGTAAAAAGATTAAAATAAAAACTATTATTATTATATTTTCACAATACTTGATAAACAAAATAAACAGAATTAACAAAAATTATATTCTAAATTTGATATTTTAATTATACAAAGATAAATTACTTTCTCAAAATTAGTATTATAGTTTTTTTTTTTAATACAAATGAATATTAACTAAGACATCGCATGACTTTGCTATATCACAATAAAACTGAGGTAGAGCCAAAAAGAAAGAAGCAATCTCTGTACCTGATGGATGAGGACAGGTGAACTTTACACTTGCTGCCAAAAAAGAGGCTATCCTTGTACCTGCTGGCCATTGCGGAGACAATCTTTGCATTGACCAGGTACAGAGAAATAATCCTTGCATTTGCCGAGGCGATCCAAGAACAAAGCAATCACTATCAATTGCTTTCTTCTTGTGTTTTGTTTGTTTTTCACACCTATTTTCTGTTAAGTGCACACAATGCTGTTTTTATTTTTGATCCCTAGGTCTAACTTCCATTAGGCATGTCAGTCATGTCAGAGATCATGGACATTTCATTTTTGATATATAAATGTATTAAAGTGACAGTCATGGATGGACTCCCATTTTTTACATTTAAATGGACCCTCATTACATTTTTGAATTCTTCATTGCAATTAATAGAAAATGGCAAAGTTTTATCAAAATCGGCCCATTAAATTTTGAGAATGGACTCAAGTCTATAAGTCCATTAAAAACAGCTAGTGAACGTGGAACATTGCATGACAAAGTCGCACAATTTGTGCAATATTGCTTTGGTGTTATTGGTGGTTTGGCGCTTGTGTTATTGACCTTATATCTTGAAAACTACGTCATGGACCACCCATTTTTTATTATATTTTGGATTCCTCATCACAATTAATGGAAATTGGCAAAGTTTAATCAAAACTGATCAAACATATTTTGAGAATGAGCACAATTCTGTAAGCTACATAAAAGAGTTTTTGTGAATGCTCTGCCTCAAATATAATTTTTCCAAACTTTTTTATATAACATTTTAATAACTGATGTCAAAGTTGGATGGATTAAATTAAATTTAGTGAATTATAGTTGGCCCAAAAATACTATTTTCTAGTTATTAAAATCATTTGCATATTTTTAAACCAACAACTGTAAATAGTGAATCAATACTTTTCTGGCATTTTTGGTTTAAAACTACGCAAATGAAATATCTTTTGGCATTAAAATTCTTTAACAATACTAAAATTAGCACTTCAACAATAATAACCACCTTAGGGATAATAAAAAGGTAAGGGAAGTTTTAATTTTGAAGACCAAGTATCCTACAGAGAAAGGTCAGCCATCAAAAGTTTGTACAGTCGACCCCCTATAAGATATAGATACGTTCCAATTTATTAGGAATCCGATTTCTTACAAGTCGTTCCAATCACAGCCCGACACGTGTCAAGTTTACGGACTACGGCTGATTAAAAGGTTTTCTTCCATAAAATTAATCGATTCTACACTAATCTGACTCAATATTTCCAAAATACGTATATTTTTTCGTAGTTTTATAGGAATCGTAATTATAGGGGGGTCGACTGTATTCCGGAACTTTGAAAGTGAATAAATGGTGGTTCCTTTTAAAACAAACTATCTTCAATTTTATTTATTTATTATTTTATTATCATTGAAGTGCTAATTTTAATGTCAAAAGAGTTTTATTTATTTCATGAACAATTATTAATGTGAAGAGTATATTTTTATTTATTGAAACTACACAAATGTTTTAATAACTAGAAAATAGTATTTTTAGGTCAAATATATTTTCTAATAATTCACTGGATTACACACTTCAGAAAAAAATTGTGGGAAAAAAGTTGGTAAAAAGCAAGTTGAACTGGCAATATCAAATTTTCAACATGGTGCCTTACTCACTTGTCCAAGCTTACTTCTTACAATTTGTTTACAGAACTTAATATTCTATATAGAGCACATAGAAAAGTTTAAACAATCATTTCTCATTAACTACTATTCATTGACATGAGTTATATTGCTATTCATTGGCAAAAGAGGGGTACTAAAATGTTTTAAAGTTTCAGCAAAATCCAGAATGTCAAAGCTTGGATGTCACTCTTGTAAGCCTAAAAGTGGGAAACAAAGAGAAGTTTAAAAGGGTATATTGGATGACATAATGACTAATACAACCATTTAAATCCAATAAAAGTTATTAACTAATGTTTTCGAGTTAGCATTATATCATTGATTCAGGTTTAAACTCAAAAGATTTTTCATTAATTGGAATGTGACAAATGAGTAAAGTACAACAACAAATTCTTTCAAGTATAAAAAGGAGTATTTCACATCTACTTGGCACTTAATTACAATTAAGGCTTCCCATGGAAGACTTCTTGATCCTTGATTGGTTGAATCACCTAAGTTAAAAGGAGGCAAATGAGGAAAGCTGATCAGAGACTTGCTGATCTAGGAGGAAGCAAGTTAAAGTGGAAGGTTTATGGGACTAGATCATCAGTAATACTATCTGCACACAAGAGCATTAAATTTGATAAAGGTTGAGACGGACCCCAAGACTTCATAGCAAGTCAGAAAGTGTAAAGATTTCCATGTCTTAAAGGTTGGCCATGTTTCACAGGAAGATGACAACAGCTATACCCTAGCAGGCAGACAGAAAGGTAGCATTTATGATTTAAATATCCCTGCAGTTAATTTAGTTGACCTGAAACTCCTTACTCAAGCTCCTGTGAGAATGGTCTTGTTTGAATCTATACAAGGGGAGGTCATGACATGGTCATCACAGATTTAAATAATATTGTTTGTGTAGGAAAACCTTGGTACAAATCTTTATTGAGCAAAGGAGCCAAAATGCACTTCTCAAACACTTTCAAAAATATTGAAGTAAAAAATCCAAGCAACTTATGAGTAAGTTTTGCAAAGCATATCATATCAAAGACCACATGGTTTGATGGGAGTGTGCCTTATGCATATTTTCAAGATCACTGGTTCATATATTGATAAGTGAGCTTTTTTCCAAATCAATGCAATTTTTACTTAAAATAATTGTAAATTAAATGGATTTATACATTAAATATTTATTTTCTATTTAAAAATGTGCAATTTCTTTCTTTGAAAATTTGTTTTTAGAACTGGTGTCTTAAAAATAAATTTAAAGCATTTACATTTAGGAATATAAAATGCTTTAAATTTTATTAAATATCATAAACAATTTGATACTTGAAGTAATTAAATAAATTTTAAAAATTATTAGTTATGACTAACTCCCATATCACATTGAATTGTTATATATGATAATAAACAATCACCTTTCAACATCACTTCTCTGGTTTCTCATTGTTTAATTAATCATAAGCACATATATACATGTATATATATTTCCTTTTCATAGCTAATAAAACAAATGGACCATAAACATAAATTAAAGTTGTAACTCTAAAATAATAAAATCATAAACTATAAAATAATTAATTATTTGAGTTTTAAAAAACAAACTTTAAATTTATTTTTAATGAACAGTTGTGAAAAAATTTTCAAAGAAATTTTCAATTGCACATTTTTAATAGAAAATAAATAGTTAATGTATAAATCCATTTAATTTACAATTATTTTAAGTAAAAATTGCATTGATTTGGAAAAAGTTCATTCATCAAAACATGAACCAGCAATCTTACGTAAATGAGTAACATACACTCTCACTAAACCATGCAGACCGTGATATGTTCTGCAGAACTTACTCAGTCATTGGAATTTCTTAACTTTGATTTTCTTAAAGACATTTCAGAAGTGAACTTTATCTCTTTGCTCAATAAAGATTTGTGCCAAGATTTATCCACACAAACAACATTGCTAAAATCTATAATGATCTTGTTGTGATCTCTTCTTGTATAGTGGTAACAAACCATTTTAATATTGTATATTGTGTAAATTTGTAAATAAACTAGTTTTAACTACAAGTAAGTTTAACCTGTGGTTTTTTTGGAAAGTTATCATCATTCAGTGGACGACAACTGAACGTGTTGCATCTTACATCCAGAAATCTACAATACTGACTTAATATAATAAAAACTTGTCACATAAAAGCTTGGGATTTTTTGATATTTTGTTAATATTTTCTATCTGTATAAAAATATGTTGAGCAAGAGCTGTGAGAGTTCTGTAACTAATTCTGTAAGTTTTGAAATTATTCATAGAAATTATTAGATATGGCAATTATATGACATTAAAACTGTGAATTATTAAATTAAAATTATGCATACTATAATTAATTATAGTAAGATATAAACATACAATTTTAAATATTGAAAATTCACTACTTTCTCATTACAATATAAAAAATCATCTTACTGAAAAATCAAATTTTACACAAATTGTTGAGAGATACAGTCGACCCTCCTATAACACTGTTGATAATTCCATTTTATATGAATTCCATGTTGTACAAGTAACTTAAGATTTTACAAATACGTGAGCCATTCACAGCCCAGCACACATATTTGTAAAATCTAAGTGACTTGAATTCATATAAAACAGAATAATCAACAGTGTTATAGGAGGGGGTCGACTGTATTGAAAATAAAGTAAATATTAAATCTTTATAGCACTTTCTACATTTACACTTTCTTTATACTTCAATGTCATCTATATGGAAATAGATATCTCAATAATTTTGAATAATTTGCAAAGCATATGTTATGTTAAACTGATGTAATTACAAACCACACACAAACAAATATTTTCTAATTTATATTGTTACTATTGCTTAAATAGTTGCTGAATTATTATTATTATTTTTTAATCAAATTTAACTTCAACAGAAGTCAATACAATCCATATTGAATATTTTATCACAAAAGCATTTTTTTGTAAAATACATAAATACAATTAGTGTATACACAGATATGCAAAACATTTCAAGTTCATGGATTTTTACAGTTACTTTTTCATCATTTGTTCTAGAAAGATAAATATTCATTTATTTATTATTATTTGATCACATCTGCAAAGCTTTTTAAATCAAATGTATGTTATGTTTTTTTCTCCTATGCTAATTTTAGTTTTACTAGGTTTTTGAGATATGACAAAATATTAACAGAAATTATATGTTTATGTATGACTGTGCATAGAACTTCTGTACTATGACTCAAGAAGAACTAAGTATATATATAAAATATTATAAGTCATTTATTTCTAAATTGAGGTATCTTAAATTTTGACAAAGTTTGATTAAAATTTCAATCAACACATATATAAGCATTATGTGAAATGATAAATAAATAGAGTTAATCAAAATATTCTTATGACTGTTACTCACTAGCATAAATATTTATTAGAATATATGAGGGCTGTTCGGAAAGTTCGCGGCCTTGCCTATATGCGGCGCTGCGATCAATTTAATTTTTGGCGGGAATAATTCAGCCATCCTTGCGAAAGATACGATACCAATTTCCGCTTGATTTGTCAAAAAGTTTTGCCACGACAGCTTAGCAGATAGTCAGTGTGCACATGCTTTGTCAAAAATGGAGAAGACGGAGACTCGTGCGGTCATAAAATACCTGACGAAAAAAGGGTTGACCCCATCTCAAATCAAAGCTGACATGGATGAAGTTTTAGGAGAGTCTGCTCCTTCGTACACCACTGTGAAAAAATGGACAGCCCTTTTTAAATCTGGCAGAGAAAGTGTGGAAGATGACCCTCGCAGCGGACGGCCGTCAACTGCTGTCACTGAAGAAAACATCGACAAAGTTCACGATTTGGTATTAGCAGATCGCCGTTTGAAAACGCGTGAGATAGCTGAGACAACAGGCATCTCTGTCGACCGAGTGCACCACATCCTAACCGAAGATTTGGGTATGACGAAGGTCTCAGCAAGGTGGGTGCCGCATCTGCTGACCGCCGAGCAAAAACGTGTTCGCACTTTGATGTCAAAGGAGTGTTTGGACTTCTACCAGAAAAACCCACAGGATTTCTTGCGTCGGTTTGTGACTACTGACGAAACGTGGATCCATTACTACACTCCTGAAACAAAAGAACAGTCGAAGCAATGGAAACACCACAGTTCGCCACCACCAAAGAAGGCAAAGACAGTTCCATCAGCGGGTAAAGTGATGGCCTCGGTTTTTTGGGATGCTAAAGGCATCATCTTTATTGACTACCTAGAAAGAGGAAAGACCATTAATGCTGTCTATTACTGTGAACTTTTGGAAAAACTGAAGAAAGAAATCGAAGAAAAGAGGCCACACTTGAAGAAGAAAAAAGTTCTGTTCCACCACGATAATGCACCTGCACATTCCGCCAGAATCACTGAACAAAAGATAAACGAACTTCGCTTCCAATTAGTTCCACATCCACCGTACTCACCTGATTTGGCCCCCAGTGACTTCCACCTTTTTCCAAACCTAAAAAAATTCTTGGCTGGAAAGAGATTCCACTCAAATGACGAAGTCATCTCTGAAGTGAACGAGTATTTTGCACACCTTGACAAATCGACCTATTGTGATGGCATAAAAAAGCTAGAACATTGCTGGAATAAGTGCATTGCTAACAGAGGAGATTACGTTGAAAAATAAAAAAAGTTTTAACATTATTTTGTTTGTTTTTCTATGTGAGGCCGCAAACTTTCCGAACAGCCCTCGTAAGATATAGAAATTTATATTTATATAATCTATAATATTTAAATATATACATTTAAAATTTCAGTAATAAATAAAATAACAATACCTCTGTCTGTAATTCTTTTAATTGAAATCTCAACTCAAATAATTCTGTTGATGTCAGTAAAATTGTATTTAATGTTTGAACCATATGACATGCAAATCGTAGATTACTATGACATTGCAAAATTTCTGAAAGTGTGCGATAAATATCTTCAGCATTCAATAACAAACATAACTGCCTGTAATGAATCAAATTAATAAATAAATCATTTCTATAAATTAGTTGTCTTTTCTTAAAGTTACTTTCTTTAAATAAATGTTTCTTATAAATGAGCTTTTAAACCTTATTTAATTGTACTGTGAGTGAGTACATGAAAATTCAAATTTCCCTTCTTTTCTGACTTACGGAGGCATAAAACCTTCTGAACTCTAAAACATTTACTAAAATAAATAGAATTAAAATAAAATGTTAAAAAAGCAAACCAGTTTTTTCTTCGAGAGAAATCTTTTTTTATTACATCATATTTATCCCTAAATGCATTTCGCCAGTATTGATACATTGGCCTCTTCAGTAGGGCTCCAAAATATACAATACAATTCAGTTTGCCAATCATAATAGCTATCATTACATGTGATTGGCAAACCAAATTGTATTGTATATTTTGAGCCTTACTGAAGAGGCCAGTGTACTGGTGAAATGCATTTAGGGATAAATACAATGTAATAAAAAAGGTTTCTCTCAAAGAAAAAACTGGTTTGTTTTTTTTAACCTTTTATTTTAATTCTATTTCATTTTAGTAAATGTTTTAGAGTTCAGAAAGTTTTATGCCTCCATAAGTCAGAAAAGAAGGGAAATTCAAATTTTTATGTACTCACTCACAGTACAATTAAGTAAAATTAGAAAATTCCAACTCCATCAGTATAAATATTTTAATTTATTTTTATGAGCTTTTAAACTTAATAGCAATTATATATTATTGACAAAAATATTATTTCTTAAAATGCATAGTGATAAAACATTGTAATATAATCTGAGATTAACTAATGACTGGTCCTAAAGATAAACTTATAAAATGAACAATAACTTAATTTTAATATATCATCATTTAACACAAATGGCATTTACCATTAGTATCATGCATGTTAAAAATTTTTACAAGTAACAATACCAATACATATTCAAGATTTATTATTTTTATATATAATTTTTCAATTTTAGGAACATTTCATAACATCAAAGTTTATTTGGAAGCACAGTAATGCTCTAAAGTAAAATATTCCTTATGAAAATTTTTTATTTTGCCCTTAGACCAAAATTATATTTAATTGATACATTCATTGTTATACAATGCATGCTAAGAATTCTAATATACTTCTTTAATAACGAATATGTTAAATCTTATTTTTAAAATGTACATTTAAATATTACATCTTACCTTATTATAAATGACCCTCGATCTTCAAGCAGAGTATTATCAGTACTAAAAATATCTAGTAGTGATACCATGAATTTAGTAAAATAATTATTCATATTAGGAGTTTGCTTGACAATATCTTTTATTGGAGATGGAACAGTTACACTTCTTAATCTATCTTCTTTCAGTCCAGCAGATGATGATGATATTTCTGCAAGAACCTCTAAATCCAGCAAAATTACCTAATTAGATGGAGAATATATATACTGTAAATTTTAAAGTTAAAAAAAAAATTCAAAATATGGATTATATTTGAATTACATTATACACAATCTAGCTAAATATGTAAAAAATATAAAAATATATTCTATAAATCTAACTTATCATTAGAAAGTTTATCCAATCCTAAATAAGTGCTTTTTATAGGATTTTACAATTATTGTTAAAATATCAAACTGTTAAACAAAGACTAGACAATTGCTATTCTGATTGGCTGTGTCAATGTAAAACAACATCTGAAAATAAAATATTAAATATTGTTCTTCAATATATCATGAGTGATCAAAATCATATTAAATCAGAAAATTTTTAATATTTTTACAATATTTAGCACATTTAAATAGTGTATTGTAGTGGCTGCCATGTTTTTTCTTGTCTTCTCTGTCCACCCCAATTCATATGCTCTTTCCACACTTTGTCAGGCATTAGCGAGGTTGAGGCCAAAGTTTTAAATGCGAAAACATGTACGTCGGACATTCACCGCTGCTTTCCTGTAAGTCTAGAAGTTTGACAATGATGTTTGGAATGTCAAGCATGATTCCACTGACTATCCAAACATCATTGTCGAACTTCTAGGCTTACAGGAAAGCAGCAGTGAACATTCAACATACATGTTTTCAATTTAAAACTTTGGCCTCAACCTTGCTATTATGCCATTGTTTGTAACCATGTCCAGATCATTTCTATTGTTCAGTGTTGAATTAAAAACCCCTGCTGAGGGGAACTGGTCTGGACAACGGAAAGGAAATATTTGAGGGTCTCGAATGGAGAAGAGCTCACTTTGGGTAAAGTTTTGGATGAGAACAAAAACGAGAACTTGGGAGGACCAAGGTTGAGGAACTGTGGAAGATGTCCCCAAGCTTGAGTGAGAGTGGCACCAGATCAAGATAGACATTTTTAAAAGAAACTACGATGCTGAGACTTGAAGTGTTCGGCCACTACTGGCAAGTCATTGTTTGTATATTTAGTTAAGGAGTTTTAGATGTAATTGTAACTCAGTTATTATTGGTTCCACTATTGTAATTTAGTTTGATTTGGTATTTGGGAATTTTTGTGTAAATTAGTTATAATAGTCTATGACTGTTGGCACATATGCAAATTCGATTTGTATCTTACTGGATTGACTAATATCTTGGGGTCTAGTAGTAATGGTTTTATTTTGTTAAATCATTTTGTTTGTCAAACGATGTTTATGTGTTTCTTTGGTCACTATCCAAAGTTCAAAGGTCACTTTAAAACTTAACAGTATAATTTTTTTGATTATTATAATTTTAATTCTCCATTAAAATGTTTCCTGATCAAATACAGATATCCTTCTTACAACATGGTTTTGGAAATCCTCCGTACAAATTTCACAATTTTTAAGTGCAAACTTCATTAGTCTATATTTTTTTTTATTCAAGTAAGCATGCATGTTGTTTCAAATTTGCCAATGGATTTTAGAATATTGAAATTTTCAATTTGTTTTGTGCCTTTCATCAGGTTTACTATAATGAAAACTGATAGAATTTTTTTCTTTCTTGTCCTACCTTTCCTATCAACTGGGTGTCATTGTTGCTTCCAGACTCTAGCCCTTAAGACTGTCACTGTGTTTCTTTTTATAAATTAATCTTCATATTTAGTAAAGTTTATTTAAACATATTTAGGTAAGTGTTGTTAAACTTTTTTCAACGTAAGTAAGTAATCATTCATAAAAATAAAAGAAATACAGCGGTATCTCAAACTGTTCCAGTTGGGAACAGTTTATGATACTGCTTTATTTTGAACAATTTGGTACTCAAGCACAAACTCTGGAAAAAATTGCTTGGTACTCAACTAAACAAACATGACCTGCTAGAACAATTTATCAATTAATAACATATTTTTATTTTGTCATCCATAGAAAATTATGATAAAAATGAAAAAAATGAAGACACTGCTCATATTTCTGATCAAGTTCAACAAAAAAGCTCAGTTGATGATGATACTTTAACAAAAGCAAATGGCCTCGTTTAACTAAAATTAATATTAACAATACATTGTGTATTCTGAAACCATGTCTTCTTTTATCTGTTTTTATCTTCACAACTAGGTGCATAGATAGACACAGGGCATTTCTATATCATCTTTATTTGGAATATCCTATGGGCCAATACACGTTTCGGGCATAAGCCCCTCATCTGTCGGCATGACTTCTGGGATTTCTTGTAGGTAGTGTTGACATGTATACATTCCGTTTAAAATGACTTATTTTAACTGTAAATATTACTTATTTTAACTGTAAATAAGTAATTTTAAACGGAATGTATACGTGTCAACACTACCTATAAGAAATCCCAGAAGTCATGCCGACAGATGAGGGGCTTATGCCCAAAATGCGTATCGGCCCATAGGATATTCCAAATAATGATGTAGAAATGCGCTGTGTCTATCTATGCACCTAGTCGTGAAGATAAAAACATTAACAATACATTTAATTGTGTTGTTAGTTAATTATTGATTGGAAATAAAGTATTGATTACTTTAATAAACATATTTCTTTTTGTAACTAAAAATAATAGTACACTTTTGTTAACTTTTGGAACATAACGCTATGTTTTGCATTAGTTCTTTGTTTTGTACAGCATGGATTCACATAATAGAGCTTTTTCAGAACATATCTACCAAGTTATATGAGGGATACTCGTATTTAAGCATATTTAAGCAACTTATACAAATATGTAATACCATTTAAAATTTCATTATATGAAATATTTTAATGTTAATCTTAGAAAAAATTCAACAATTTTACAGATAATTTCAGTGAATCAGGAATTGTTTATATGATACACTACTGAATTTTCAATTTACAGATATAAATACCTTTATTTTTTTTTTTTTTTACTTAGACTGTAACAAATTAATTTTTATTATTTATTTTTAATAGTTTAGCATATTAACTCACATTCAAGTTTAATTTTTTAAACAACTTAATCTGAAAATAAAGAAGTTTAATTAAAAGAATTTTATATTTTCTTTCAATCTGACTGTTACCAAATTTGTAAGATATTAGAAAGCATTTTGTGTTTTTTTTGTAATGATCAAGTAAGATTTATATATTGTTACATCAGGAATAAAGAATATAAAATATGTTTTAAAAAATAAGTATAAATAGTTCAGCTATAAAATGAGACCAATCCAGTTTAACAAAATCTATATTATATTAAAAACTGCTTAATTATAAAATAAAAAAAAAATGTGAAATTTTTAAAGATAAAGTTTGTTTTATCTTATATAATTTTTTTTATTTGTTTTTTTATAGTTCTTCTAATTGAATATAATAATTGATTATCTTTTAAAAATAAAAGTGTCTTGAAACTTTCATCCTTCTTCACATTTTCAGGTTCCAAAAATAGTTTGATGAAGGCTTGAAAGATGAAAAAGATGAAGACAATTATTTTTAGTTTAGTATTTATTCTATATGTATGATAATTAACTGCCATCCTGTAATTTATTTATATTTGTAATAATAATTGAGCAAAGTTTAAATTTTCCTAATTATTAAAATAAATTTTATTTTAATAGCAATAATATATAAATTGTTCTTACCTCATTAGACTGATCAGAAAGAGTTTGTAACAGTTTAGGAAATATAACATCAACATGACAAAATATCTATAATGTTAAAAAATTTAAATTAATTTCAAATGCAAATAAGTTTTATTCTTATTTTTTTAACATTAAATTTAAATATTCTTTTAAATAAAAATATAGAATTATACTTAAAACTTTTATATGTATATAGCAGCATAAATACTGGATGATAATGTCACTCAACTCTGAAAGCTCTGACGGAGAAATCAGCACTGGCTGAGCACTACTATTTAATAACCTATTATTAGTAGTATCCATGTAATAGTACTATGTTGAGAGTCCCCATAATGTAAAGTCACCAAGTCCTGACAATTGAGTTACGATGCAGTATGTTCCAGAGGACAGCTTTCTTATTTTTAAATTGCAAGTTTTTATCCTGAGGAAAGGCATTTAAAATGACCGAAAACTTTGAAGAAGTAAAATTGGCACTGTATTTAAAGGTATGGTTGTGTTTTAGTAGTATGTATAGTATCTTGTATATATATATAAGATACTATACATACTACTAAAACACAACCATATATTGTTGTTGTATGTATACAACAACAATACATGAAAACAAACTAAAATTTTTCAAAATTTTTAAATTTTAGTAAATTATATTTATTGAAAGCTTTAGAAAAATGCTCTTACTACTTCCAACCTTTAAACTAGCAATTTCCAACAAAATCAGTACCACCCACCAGTGGGTATTGAAGAGATCTAAGGGGGCTTTTTTAGTCTAAGGCAAATTTAGGGGGCATTGAAGACCAACCCCCTGGGCAATACTCACAAGAATGCACTGAAGAATTTGATCAATACCAAAAATCATTGAATGTATGTTTCAACAAATAGTTCTAAATGTCGTCTTGCATCACATCATAAACATTGTTTATCATAAATGATATAGCTCTTAACATAATAATAAATATAGTCAACCCCCTATAACACAGTAGATATGTTCCGTTCTTTATGAAATTGATGTATCTAAGAGTCCTTAAATACATGAGCCAATCACAGCCCGGCACTATGTAGTTTATAGACTACGGCTGTTTGAAAGGTTTTCTTCCATAAAATTAATTGATTCTAGACTAATTTGACTCAACATTTCCAAAATACATATAATTTTTTGGGAATAATCCATATAAACTATGCTATAAACAAAAAATTGTAGGATTACTTACCAAGTGTGCACTGTTCAACGACTATTGCTTAAGCTTGTTTTTGTCGTGGAGATTGTCATCAAATGGAGCTCGCGTGCTTCTTGATAAATTATTTTTTTTGCGAAAAATTCGCTGAACTTTGAGACGTCATTAATATAAATATAATTTTTATGGACATTAAATAATAAATGGTTTTTAGTAGGTCTGCTGCTCATTTAAACTCAATGGTTTTTACAATATCCGCTATTGGTCTAGATTCGAGCAATCCTGTTACAATACGAGTCAGTGATGACGTTTTACTGAATTATACGAGTTTTTTTAGCGTGTTTGTATGAATACTGTCGCAATTTTTTCGCCGTCATATAGGAATCAGAACTATATGAACCTGTGTTATAGTGGGGTCGACTGTATTCTATTTTCATAAAAATATTTATAGCTATTGCTCAAGAATTTCTTATATTAAAAGATATTTAATACATTATAAACATGAAATATGAACAATCAAGTGATATTGAAACTACACTTTGTTAGTGAAAACATAAAAAAATTATCAGGTCAAGGTATTCAAATAAAATTTTTAAACGTAATTGAAGAGCTTATTTCCAAAGTGACGTATCTCCAGGAAATACAAATTTTCAAAAACTACAAATTTTAAATAATTGCTTTAAATGTTAAGGTAAAAAACTTAATTTTTGGTACGGAGCTTTATTTTTATATTCTGAATACAGGTTTAACAGTGAAAAAAATCCTGAGGCAAAGGAAATGGTAGTAAAGGAAGATGTGGGCTTTTGCGTTTTTGCAAAGGCAACTATCCTAGGCATGTCTGGTGAGGCCACCACTGCCCCTTAGTGGTGGTGGTCTCACTCAGACACGCCTAGGATATTCACCTTGCAAAAACGCATAAGCCCACACGTTTCCTTAGACTCATCCTTGATAAAGCTAGGTCTCCGACCAGGAAATGGTAGTTTTTGTACTTCAAATCATGGACTTACCCTACTTTGGAACAAAACTGCAGCATTTAAATGGATAATGTAATAAAAACAACAAATAGATGGTCAAAACTTTTAATATATAAAAACAAGAAAGTGAATATACAAAATATGATAAAAACAAAAATTAAAATCATACAAATCTTGTTCATATGACTGAAAATAATAAAAAATGATGTTTAAAAAACTATACTAATTCCAGAAGAAAGAAAAAAGTTAATGATTACATAAAATTAATAAAAATCATATTGTAATTGTTCTGTCACTTTCTAAACAAGAAAACGCTTTTTGTAAAATGTCATTGCATCATGCCAATCACTTATTCCTAGTTTATTTAAAAGTTTCTTCACATCATCTATCTTTTCCAGCTTAACTTTATTCTTCAATGATAACAAATCAACTAATAGATATGACCTTTTTTTTTACCTCTTTTTAAGATTGTATGTTTGCACATCCCTGATCTATCCGAATAGTACTGTTTGCAACAAACATATTTAGATTTTATTCTGATTACTTTCATTTTGTATATTTTAAAATCCATTTTTGACTTAATGTGTGAATAAATTGCCAGTTTCCAATTACCAAGTTGCCAGTATTTATCAAGAACATGTATTTGTGTCCTATATGCTCAAAAATTTTATTGTAGTCTTATGGTAAAAGAAGCAGTTCAATTTTTCTTAACATTTTTTCCACCCTTCCAAAGGCTCTATCTGTGGGTAAATATGTAATCTCAAATGGATATGGAACACCACTGGATATGTAATTTCAAAAATTACACTATATATATCTGAAAGTTTACTTAGCATTACTAATGCATAATTTTTCTTTTGTGTACTGTATCATCACAAAACAAATAAATTTTTTTGATTTTTCGATTTTTCTTATAAAAATTTCTACAAAATAAAGACGCAACCTCTTTCTAGTATATTGACTAAATATTTTTTGAACTTCTTCAGAAAATGTGGCCATTATTAAAGAAAAATTAAGAAAACAATCAAACACAATAGCACTTGCACTTCAGAAAGCAGTCATTACTGTGAAATAGTCATGTGACCAATATACACTTTGTAATTGGCTGTTATGGAAATGTGATAGTTTGGAAATAAAAACAAAATGAAAAACGTCACATTTGGAAAGAAAACCAATTTTTTGATACATTTTTCAACAGAAAAACACCCATTTTAAAAAAAAAATTTTTTGTAGCACTATAGAGAAGCATATTATCAATGTGTTGGTGCTATGAACTCAAAAAAAATAAAAAATGGAGATACATCACTTTGGAAATACAGTGGTACCTCAGGTTACGAACGCCCCAGCATACGAAATTTTCAGGATACGACATGAAATTCGAACATATTTTTGCTCCACGATACGAACAAAAACTCACCATACGACGTTACATTAGTTCGCATTTTTCATTTGTTTTTCTTACTACAGTTATTTTTTTAAATGTATTACTTGGCTTTAATTTGAGTATGTTTTTCGCGTTAGAACGAATTATTTGGTTTTACATGTAATCGTATGGAGAAAAATGATTCACCTTACGACATTTTCATGATACAATCTCAGTTTCGGAACAAATTAATTTCGTATCCTGAGGTACCACTGTAAGCTCTTCAATTAGTTTGAGAAAAATCATAAATATGAAATTTCTTTTTAATTTTATATAAAATGTCAGTTTTAATTGATGAAAATCTATTGTTATTCAGCACATTCATTAACATAAAAACAACACCCCAATACTAGTTACAGCAGAGTCCCGAAAACTCAGCCTAATGTGGGCCGAAGGATGGGCGAGTTTATGAAAATGCCGGGTTATCGGAAATGGGGTTAAAAAAAATAAGTACGAATGTTTCCTCAGAAAATACTGTACTGTACTGTACTTGTATGTATTGTTTGCTTGAGAATAAAACAGAGAATAAACTGCCCAAATACCCTTAAACAAAGAAAAAGTATGTACTTTATGAAGGCACAAAGCCTTTACTACATGAAAATGAAAATTAATGAATATACTGTGTACAGTAATATACCTGATAAGACAGACCTCAGAAAAATACTTTATGAGGCATAAAGCTGTCTATAATTAAAATTAATTAACTAGGGGTTTTTTTTGCCCTGCCAGGGTGTGGCCGAGTTATCCGGACTGCCGGGTTATCGAGTGCCGAGTTTTCATGACTCTACTGTAATATTAATCAGAGATCCACTACATCACAAAACCAATGAACTAGCAATAAAAAGAGAACTATTCACTTTGAGAAGTGAATTTTTGTCCATTTTTGAAAGGACATCCTCAGGCTGGTGTTCTAAAATTTGAATTGCACGTTTTTGAAACAAATCATAGACTTTACATAATTGATAGATGCTGATTGGTGGAATGTTTGTATGTAGCAACCTGCATGGAATATACTGAACTTCTGTTGAATTTATATATTTTTTCCAAGTTTGGGATTGCGCTATTCTCTTTTTAGTTGATGGCTTTTAATATGTCAGCTCAATGTTCCTTTAGACAAGTGGTAATGTGCCAACATGTGGCTCCTATAAATTCTAATTTTTCATTGGATCTCTTGTCTGTAAAGAAACAGAATATACCCCTGGCAAATATTGCCAAGTTGGCAGATCTTTGGCATTTCTAATTAGATTAAATATGGATGGGCTCCTTCTGAAAGTCGCATTGGTGTTGTAGTTGCAGGCTATTTCTCTGTATATAGAAGCTAATGATGTCTAAAAGAAAACTGAGCTGACGTATCAAAAGGCCTATTAACCACTGGCCTGTCAACATATGCTAGGGATCCTGACATAAAGGTCCATTACAACTGAGCCAAAATAATACATACAACAGCAAATATATCACATATCAAATATCTGGAGTTAATTAAGATCTACAGGGCAGCCCAAAAGCCATCAACTATAGAGAATAGCACAATCTCAAATTTGGAAAAAATATATAAATTCAACAGAAGTTCAGTATATTCCATGCAGGTTGTTACATACAAACATTCCACCAATCAGCAACTATCAATTATGTAAAGTCTATGATTTGTTTCAAAAGTGTGCAATTCAAATTTTAGAACACTAGCCTGAGGATGTCCTTTTAAAAATGGACAAAAACATTTGCTTCTCAAAGTAAGTAGTTGTTTTTTACTGCTGGTTCATTAGTTTTGTGACATAATGTTAATAAAGTTGAGATCCAATATTATAATTATTCTACAGTAAGTTGATACAAAAGTGATACAAATATCAGTCATTATTACTACTTTAACAACATACCTTATTAGGAATTTTAATGTGCAAATGATAAATCCATCGTAATACTGCCATTCTCGTATGCACAGATTCATGATCCAATGTCCTTGTTAAAACTTCTACCACAGGGCTTAAGTCTAATTGGATATCTTCACAATCTTTAGGTTTTTGAGTTTGAACAGTAATTTCAAGAGATAGATCCTCCTTCGATTCTGATCCATCAGGTTGTTCTCTATCATCTTCCAAAGTGATCAGTTGCATTAAACTATAATTGACAGCTTTAGCAGTTTCACATATATCTTATCAATGTATTGAGAAATAAAACAATTTTAATATAATATTTATTAATGAGACTATGTCTCGTCTCTAAAATTGTGCTGATGTCAACGGCTGCACACCTTAGAGGTATGAAGGAGTACATGTCAGGAGTTGCAATTTGGCACAGAGTATTTTACTTGTTTTAAAATTAAAATTCAAGAAAATTAATATTAACTGCTTAAATTTGATAAATATTTAAGTTGTCAGCAGCTTAGCCCTCCTAGCCATAGAACAATCAAATGGCAGCAAGGAAAGCAATCTTTTAAATCAGCAGAAAATTATTTTATTTGATCAGTTCTTTCAAATCTAAATACAGATCATTATTATACAGTCGACCCCCCCATAACACTGTTGATTTTTCCATTTTATATGAATTCCATGTTGTATGAGTCACTTAGATTTTATAAATACATGAGCCATTCACAGCCCGGCACACGTATTTGTAAAATCTAAGTGACTCATACAACACGGAATTCATATAAAACGGAAAAATCAACAGTGTTATACGGGGTCGACTGTATCTACTTAATAACTAAAATGGAACAAACATTTGAATATGTTGAAATATTAAGAATTTAAATATTTAAATGAATAGAAAGGTTTTTAAAAATTGAGAGGTACAAGTTAAATGTTCTCTGAGTAAATTATGTATCTGGTTTTCTAAAAGCCTAGTAGGCAATTTAGCCTTATCGACAATAGGTCATATAGTGTTGCCCAGCTTGTGGGTTTTTGCAAATGCAAACAGTTTAGAGATATCAGGAAAAGTCAATTGCTCTGTCAATTTTTGCGCATGCTGTATATGCGAGTCTAATGACGCATCTAAGCAATTTGTTGACATAATTATTTTCAATCTGTTTGCAGCAAGTTGGTTTTAAAAGTAAATTGGTTTAAAAGGGCTTTGTATTTGTCTTCTTTCAACAATACCATTGATCTACTTTTATCAGCTTTTAGCATGATGATGATTGTCAGACATCCATTTCTTGCTCTCTCATAGAAGTTTCCATGTGATTTCTTCCTGGCAATTCTCCTTGGACGATTTCATTCTGAAGGTCACTTTCCATCAATAAAGTTCCTTTTGGCATTCATCCATGTCAATGATGAGCTTTTCAATGTTTGGCACAATGTCTTCATGGTAGCAATCCTGTGATTTGGGTGCAAATATGGGGCCATACTTGATGGTGTCGTTGAGGAAGGATAGGAGATATGTTGTCCCAGTAAATTAATTGTGGGTGAATTACTCACAATTAATTTACTGGGACAACATATCTCCCACATTGCCCACAATTAATTTGCATCAATTTCAAGAATAAAGAATGATTATCACATGCATGGCAATCTTTATACAAACATGACAGTCAATACAAAAATATTTTTGAAAATTCTCATTTATACTTATTTTATGTTACAGAATTTATGCTATTTTGTATTAAATTATGTACACTTGTGCATTATTTATGTATTTGAACATTTTCAAATAATTTTAAAATGTTCCTTTCCCTGCATTCCATTTTGGAACACATTAACTTGAAGATCTATGAAGATTGAAAACATTTGTATTTTATCTTCATTAAACTATACTGGAATTTCATTTATAAGATTCATTGGTTGGTATTTTTTCTGACAAATGTTATGTTCCATTTTAGTTATTAAGTAGATCTGACCATGATCAGCATTTAGACTTAAGGTACTAATAAAGTAAAATAATTTTCTGCTGGTTTAAAAGGTTAATTCTGTTATTATGAAATATTTCTATAGTTATAAATTAAAACTTAATTTGAAGTACAGTACTGTAAAAACCTATTATATCAAATTAGTGAGAGATCTAATTAAAATTACAAAAAAAGGATACTTCTTCTATCATCATCACTATGAGCTAAATTTGGTAATACAGCAGCCAAAATTCCAGAAGCAAATGGTAAAAGAATGCGTCCTGCTAAACTGACAAATTCTTTAACCCACATAATTGCAGTAAATTGTACTAATTCTTCTACATAAAAAAAATTGTATAATTATTTATGCATGATTCTTGAAACCAATTCTACAGTTTTTTTATGGATTAGTCTAAACATATATCATCAATTAATTTCTAAAAATAATTTTATTTTGAAAGAAATTTATCTGTTCACATAATGTTGTTTTATAAGCTAAACATTGAAAGTTTTTACAAGTATTATTATATTGATAGAGCAGACACATTACCATATTGTCGATTAATGAAAAACAATTATAAAGTTATAAAATGAAATTCAAAAGTTCAGAAAAAAACACTAAAATAAAGAAAAATGTCTTCACAAATTTTTTTTTACACCTTGGGAACAGATAATGTAATTTGATATAATACAACCAACACAAAAAACTGAATAATTATAAACAAGACACAAATTAATCCAAACTCTTTACTGGAGTTTGAATTAATTTATGCCTAAACATGTAAGACTTACTGATAAGCAAATGTTTTCAATAGCTTTCAGTTATCATCGTCAGGTTATGCAACAGTATTCAAAAATAGAACATAACATCAAATATTGATTTTTAAATGATAGTGAAACATCATGTGATTGGTTGTTGCTTTAGTAATGTAGAAAAATTAAAATGGGACCTCAAAGATCTCCAGGTCCGACGTAGGATGTTAGTAGTTTTAAAATTAATTTCAAAATTTTTCTTATAAGCTCTATACATTTCTAATATTTTGAACTGTTTGAGGAATGGAAGCTCTATGGATAGATGTAGAAGTCAGGCCTCATATAAGTATGCTTGGATCTTGGTTCTATGGCTAGGAGGGCTAAGGCTATAATATATATATAAAAGCTATAAGCTAATATTGTAAATGTGAATTTGTCTTAAGAAGCTGCCAAATGCATACAAAATAGTGTAAAGGTTTTTTGTAGTAGCCTTCAGAACTCTTGTTAGAATAGCCTTTACCCACATTTCAAACAATGAAGACATGGCACAGGAGTTCAAACACTATTACCATCGAACAATAATCAAAGGTTTTATCAGGTTCTATTCCTCACATAACACTAACTTCAGCAAGGAGAACAAACCATACAAGTCCCTAAGGTATAACCAGTATCTCAAACAAACTTGAATAGAAAAAGCAAGAGCTAACAATATATATATATATATATATGTGTGGGTTTTTAAACATAACCCCTCAGTATATTCATTATTGAGGAACTCCAAGAACTGGTATGAACACCTACTGACAGAAGTTTATACCATCCCAGTCACAGATAACACATCTAACTAACAATTGGAATACATTGACGAACTAAGTGTGACATTTAATGTTATGTTCTATTTTTGAACACTGATGCTTAATCTAATGATGATAGCTGAAAGCTATTGAAAATGTTTGTTTATTGGTAAATCTTACTCTTAATCATAAAAGGAAGATTTTTTCTTCTTTTAAATTGTAAAATTCAAATATCTCCTGAAGGTCAATTAAGAAGATCAACAACATTAGAATAATAAATATTTATGGCATAATAAGTGGTTATGTTTTGTGATAAATCATACATGTTTCTTACTGAAGTTTGTTTAATTTATCTTAATGTAATTTTATGTAGTATGATGAGAACTGTGATAGAGTCAACCTCTATTTGGAGGCTCTTGACACCTCAATATGAAAAAGACATTATAAAAATCCGTTTGTAGTTCTGTTGCACACCTATTATACTCCTATCTCTCAATCATACTCATAATCATATCACATTCATAAAGCATTCTAGCAGTTGTCCCAATATATAACAGCTTTGACCAAGTTAGCATATTTTGTAAGGGTATAGCATATACTCCAAATTTTTCAAAAAGTGCATCATCATCTCTGTTGTTGCAAAGGGTCCTATGTAATGTGGACTGGGGCACTAGTGGTAATATATAACCATACTTCTTGAAAACCCAGAAAATATGTAATGAGCTGTGGATAGTGCTATTTAAGCTTATAAACTTGTAAATTCATATTTCACAATAAAACATCTTGTTTCATTGATGGCACTACTGTGTATCTAATTATTTTTCTATTTTAATTTGGTAACTTTTATTAGTATTATTCCTTGTATACTCCGATTTTTTTGGTAGTGTATAATTTTGTAATTTTATAGTCTTTTATGTTCATGCTTGTACCTGAGGAACAATTTTGAAAAACGTTTGTTGCTGTTTGTATTCTATTTTTCAAATTGAAACGTTCAGTAACTATAAATGATATTGACTGAAGAGGGCAGTTATGTACAGTCAAAAGTACTTGCAAAATAGATCTTTTCTATAATGCTGATTGACAACTGTGTGGGTAGATTTTTTGTAATTAAATTTCTATATATCCAGAAAGCATCTGTCCAAAATAGGATTCAAATACACTAAACATCAATGTATGTAAGATAAATGGAATGAAAGTACTATGAGCATTTGTTTTTTTTTTTTAAACCTTACTCTTTGCTGATTTATTGATGATATTAATGTCATTTATAATGGGATTCAAAATCTATTACAGCAATTATAAGTCAAACAATTATACTGTCCTAAAAAAAATATAATCATTGTCTATTAACTTTTTCTGCAATTTCAAATCTTATAAATGATTTAAATCAGGAACTTTGTTAAATCATACTTGTTAGAAAATTTTAAAATTCTTGTAATTATATGTAAATTTTTATTTAAAATTAAATCCTTTTGCTTAAATACATTTTGTTTAAACTATAAGCCAAGCAATGCTGTATGTCATCAGGCTAGAAGACAGCTATAATACTAATAAATTATGAAACAATTTGGTACTAGAGGAAGGCATTAGGTGCCATCTCTTAATAAATTTAATAATTATAATTTTTTAATTAAATAGTTTAGAACTACTGGAAGAACATTGATTATAATGTAATTATATATATACTGGAAGAACATTGATTATAACGTAATTATATATATACTGGAAGACAAGATCAGACTGAAGGTCTGGGTAACAAAATTGGCAATGCATCTGCACGGTAAGTAGGAGTTGTAAATTAAAGTCCTGCTCTGGGCCAATTCTTTTCTTCCAGTAGTTCTAAATTACTTAAATTATTTACTTAAAAATTATAATTATTAAATTTATTAAGAGATGGCACCTAATGCCTCCCTCTAGTACCAAATTGTTTCATAATTTATTAGTATTATAGTTGTCTTCTAGCCCAATGACATATGGCATTGGTTGGCTTGTAGTTTTATAATGTTATTGTTGAGTTCAGAAAACCGATTTTTTTTTAATTCAAAACTGTTTTCATTCTTTCTTAAGAGCATCTTTTATTTTAATTTTATGAAATATAAAATAATAAACAAAGCAGAACATATTTAATAAAATTAAAAATTTTGTAACAGATACTAAAAATATTTTCACTTATTGCCATGTCCAATCACCAGGAACAACCATTCTTCATCGCAGAGACGACCTTTCTTTAGAGGCTACGCCTCTGCAAAATTATGTAAAACAGTCTAAAAGTCCACAGGTGACAATCCCAACACAATTAAAAATATAATATTTCTTTTGTAAAAAGAGCTGGCAAAATTAAAAATCTTATAACAGATACTAAAAATATCTTCACTTATCACCTGGTGATTGGACATGGCGATAAGTGAAGATATTTTTAGTATCTTTTACAAAGTTTTTAATTTTATTAAATTTAATTTCGCCAGCCCTTTTTACAAAAGCAGAACATAATTTTTACTATGTAGTGTCTACATACAGAATGTTTGAGAATTAACATAATGTTTGTTTGGTTTTTGTTTTTATTGGCATAAGAGCAAATATAACATTAATATTTTAATTTAAAAAATAGTTTCCATCCTTATTATAGTAATAATAAAATATTAACTTAAAAAATCATCTCTTACCAGAAGATTGTGAGTGAATTATCAATATATTAACCATTGCAGCAAAGTCTACTTTCTGAGGATTTCTTATTATGTTTCGTAAAAACTCTCCTAAAACAGTTTCACACCTTCAAAAAGTTTTAAATTTGATTTATGAATAACAACAATTACAACACCAATATTAATATCAGCATAATTAATAATTTTTTTTAATAATAATTAATAATAATTGCAATATATTTTAATATTTTTATCTAATTGCTTAATTACATTACAAAATTTTAAACATACATATAATTAGGTAATTATTAACATTAAAATATCATACTATCAAAACAGTGAAAGCAAATTCAAAATAAAGTCTAACTAATAAATTATTTATGAACAAACCAAAATCATCTATTTCATATCAAGGATGAATCAGACATATTTTTCTAGATATTTATCTCAATGCAGTTTTACATACAAATCAGTTTCCAGTATTGTTGAAACTGGAGAGTAATACTAATAAAACACCTCATTCAACTTAGAGCCTTTTTTGTTTCCAGTACTGTTCAATGATAAACAAATGTTTAAAGACAAACATTTTCAATCTAGGCGAGATCTTCCTTGTACTTTTCCTGTAGTTACATTAATACTGCTCAATTTTTTTGTATTTTATGTATTCAAAAATTTCATTTTTTTTAAAACACATTCCATTTTACATAAACCCAAGGAAGATCTTGCCTAAATCAAAAACATTTGTTTATCATTAAACGAAAAAACGGTACAAGTTGAATGAGGTATTTTATTACATTTGGTTATGAGATATAATTCTTTTCATCTCCAAAATAAATATTCTAATATTGTAGATATGGATAATGAATGTAATGTTGAAATTATGCTAAACTAAAATTTAAGGTTACATATATACAGGGGTGCCTTACTTACATTGGAGCATTTGGGACACATGCCCCCCTTCATCGTCAAGTTGCCCTTTTCTTAATCCCCAAGGGCACTCTAAAGTTTCATTTTATTTTTAAATTAGTTACTCATTTTTATCACAGAAAACATTTTTACTGATGACAAAATTAAAATAAAATTAGTGATTATTTATTATGACATTGTCACAAGGTTGGGCTGCAATTTTTAATCGTGGTTTTAATTTATTCAATTTAAAATATACGCTCTCCACCTCAAATTAATCATTTCTTGCCCTGTATATCATACTTTTCCTATTAGCAATAGTCATGCTGTCATCTATCTAACTCCTTACAGGGAAAAGTTTTTGAATTGAAATAACATGACATCTGATTTGCATTGGAGGTTCATATATAGCTAATTGGGGCCTCCTGATGCTAAGGTTTCCATATCTGGTCTCGGATTTCATCTATCTAACTCTGTCCTTGAGATTAAAGAAAGACGGATGGATGACAGTGGGAATTTATAGGTCTATAATTTTTGAAAATTGCAGCCCACATATTTGTTATTAACCAAAAATTTGTTCTGATTGACTAACAAGATACCACTGTATTTGATTCATGCATGCAATTTAGATATATGCAGTATCATCAAGGAATTAATTAACTGCATTAATCAAAGTATATATATATATATATATGTATGTATATGTATGTATGTATATATATATATATATACAGGTATCAGGTACACAAATATAAATAAATATTCATTTATAATAAATTTTTAAACATTTTTTAGCCTGAAGATTAAAGGTTTATAAAAAAGTTGATTTTAGGGTCTTTGCCTTTGATAAAAAAAAAAAAAAATGGTTATAGTATGCATAACATAAAATTACATTATCAGCCAACATAGTGTTTTTAAATTTTAAAAAAAGACACAAAGTTTAATGTAGAAAGAAACCATTCAATAAATAGAATTATTTTAGAAATTGATGAAATTTAATCTAATAATAGTTTTAAAAATATTTCTAAAATATTTCATCATTCAAATGAGATTTTTGAACAAAGTCAAATTAATATTTACATTACAAAATGATGAAATATCTTACTTTAAAAATTTAGATAAGATTTTTAAAATTTAAAAATAACACAAATAAAAATTTTTACTTTTTAAAACTTATGGTTTAACTAAATAGTAGAAATAATTCAAAGACCATTGTAAAATTGAGCTATTATATATCATTGCATTTATAAATATTTTTATAATTTTGGAATTTATGAATATTTATTTAAGTAATATAGAATTAATATTTAAATAAAAATTACAACAATATTTATTATTTCATATAAAGTATTTTCAATAAATTCTAAGAATACAGGTAATCCCTCGTACAACATGGCATTTCTACAACACAGTTTTGCTCTAATGTGGTTTGAGAATTGGAGACATTCCCATGCAAAATGTCACAATTTTTAAGTGTAAACATTGTCATTTGATATTTTTTTTATTTAAGCAAGCATGTGTGTTGTCTCGTATTTGCCTATAAATTTTAGAATATTGAAATTTTCAATGTTGTTTCATGTCTTTCATCCAGTTTTCTTCAATAAAAACTGATTGTACAATTTTCTTCTTCTTAGCTTCCTATTCTAATTTTCCTATAAATCAGGTGTTGCTGTCATTGCTGAATGAACCCAAAAATCTGTCACTGTGTTCTGTTTTTGTAGATTAAATTAAAAGTTACTGCATAAAAAGACAAAGTTTTTAAAGATCTTTTAGATAAATGTAAATGAATGAAAATATTAATTTTACAAAAAAGTATAAAAAAATCAAGATGTTGCTGATACTTCAGATTTAGGTCAACAGGAAAGTTCAGAAGGAGATGATATTTTGCCAAAAAGAAAACGTTTTCATTTAACAGTGTTTAGAAGTGTAGAAGAAATTAATTTTAACATGCAATACTTTTGTATTGTTAGTTACTTATTGATTACTTCAATAAACATATTTCTCTTAATACAAAAAAGAATAGTACATGTATGAAAGAAATTATTATTTTGTCATGCTAGATTTTTATCAGATAAAGTTTAAGATCACTTGTCTTTTGATATTAATACAGGTCAAAAGTGCTTGTAAGATATTTTGTGTTTATTTTTATGCTTTACTTGTCAAAACTTTATTAACGCCAAAAGACAGTGATCTTAAACTTTTATCTGAGAATATAACTTTTGCTAACTTTTGGAATTTAACCCTATGTTTTGTGCTAGTCCTTTGTTTTGTATAGCATGGATTCACATAACATGGCACTTTTACAGAACCCAACTACTGTATTACATAGGGGTTATTTGTATTTCAATTTCTAATATTTCATACACATTGGCAACTATATGACTGCCTTTTGTTGTTCAATTAAATAAAAAACTTTAACTGCTAACAGCAAATAAATTAAAAGAAATTCAGAAAAATTTTACTTTTAGCATTCACAAGAAATTAAAAGCCATTATATATTTATGTTGTAATAAGTTATGATTCCATAAAAAATACAAATACTAACATTTTTCTTATTTCCATAGTTGGATCACCTAATATTCGAAACAATCCATCAAGGATTTCAGGCAAAAATATTAGCATATCAATATCAGGAACTGCATCTAAAACAGAAATCTGTAAAAATTATAAAATAGTATTAAAATATATACTTCTTCATTGAATATATTATATATGTATGTATATATGAGTACAGTAGTTGAAACATAAAACAGTCATGATTAATGAATCACATAAATAGTCACCAATGTAGTAATTTTCATGTTTACTTTATCATATAAATTAAGAAAACTTTTTATAATTAATGTAAATAATACAAAATTAATTATAATTTTTCATGAAATTTGGATTAGAAAAATTTTTTAAAAAATTAAAAATAATTGTAAATATCACTCATTGAATATTTTAACTCTGAATATACTGTATAGTGCATTATTGTAAGTTTTACAGACAATATCAATAATATTCATTTAATTGCTATCATCACTTTAACAAAGAAATGTTGTTATATGTGTAATTATTACACACAAGGGCACAATATTTCAAAATCACGAAAAATAAGACAACATAAATCATGGCCATGTTATGTATTCCAATAAATTAGTAAAATTATGAACCAACATTTAATAACTAATTTTATTTAATTAATAAATATTTCTCTTAAAATTTTTATAAATATCACAAATTTTTTCCACTATTTAATTTTTATAAATCCTGAATTTTTTCAATACTGTATTTATATTCTTCACTCAGTTTTACAATAATCTTCAATTTTTCTGTAAGATAATTTCTTTATAATACTGACTAAATATTAAGAAAATATTTATATGCAAATTAATTTTATTCTAACAAATAATTATTAGCAAACTAAAGTAGTGGCTTTTCAAAATATTCAATATCTTATTTTATTAATATATCTTAAAATTTAATATGAATTAACCAATAGTTAAAAGCAAGAATAATCATAAGATACTGTATTTACTCAAATATAAGAAACCATCAAATCTAAGACTTATCTTAATTTCTATATGCTCACTCATAATTTCTTTTTTAAATAGACAACTTTATGTCAACAGAAATATTCAGTATTTATTACAAATAAAGTAAGTTATATATCATTGTTTTCTGTGATATTGAAATTGGAAACCTCTTGGATTCAATTTTCACGTGCAATTATACTCAGTGCTATTTAATGCATTTCTTGAAAGAGCACAACTTTTTTTTGGGCTTTTCATCAAAGTACTTACCATGTTATGGTAATACACTAATGATTTTGAACTGAACTGAACTGACCTCTTAAGTATTTTCTATTACAAATATTGGTCTAATAAAATCATTAGAATGATGTTATAGAATTAATGACAAAGAAATAACACACATGGTACTAGAAGTTTCTACATATGACACATTAAATGTAATATGTACCCTATTTTCAAAGACATATAAACCTGAAAAAGTGTTGATTTAAGTAAATATGGTAATAATGATTTGTACTTCTATGCATGGCAATACTTTTGATTTTAATGCTGTAATAATGTATTCTATTTAGTAACATGTCCACTTCTCCACTGTCTCCACCTTGTTGTGGTAGAAGCTTGGTGATCTGCGCTACAATGTAATGGTAGGGGTTTTTACATGTGCCTTTTGCCATATCCAACTAAGAAGGATACCTGCCAATGCCAAAATGGGAGGCATTGTGCTGAAAGCTGGAAGGTATCCATATGATATAATGGGTGCTGTAAACAATTCCCCTGGGGTACCAGCTGACACCCCATTGTATTCAGCCTTGCATCTGCATTGGGGGCTCTACAGACACTGACCATATATTTTTCCTATATTACATATATTTCCTATATTATATCTAATGTTTCTAGCAGTTCCATACTGATTTTTTCCTAATCTAGGTGTTTGACTTTGTCTTTTCAACTCACATCAATTATTAATCTTTCCATTGCTCTCTAGCTTTTCAAAGTTTCTTCTTACTGGTTGTTGTCATTGTCCAGGTTTCATATCAATAAGTCATATTTGGTAGAATGCATTGATCAAAAACTTTTCTTTTTAAGGCAGTGGGGATATCCTGAATTTTGAAGATGTAACTTAATTTACCAAGGTTAATCAATCCTGTTTTGATCTTTGCTTCTATTTCCTTATTGTTATTTAAGTTAAGCATTATGATTTTTCCCAGGTACTTTCATTAACTCTTTCAATAGTGTGATTTTCTAAAATAAATATTTTTTCTTCTGCTGTCTTTTTAATACAGATAAAACCATGATTTTAGTTTTATCCATATTAATTTTGAATACTATGTTATTTTTTTAAATAGCTGAATTTAAGTCATTTAGTATATTTTTTAAGTCTCTGAGTTCTCTAAAATAAGAAAAATGCCATCAGCAAACTTGAGATGGTTGAGTTTTGTTCCATTTATTGATATTCCATACATATTCCAATTTAGAATTTTAAAGACCACCTCTACAGCAGCATTAAATAATTTAGGGGATATTGTATTATACTATTTAACTCCTTTTTTCTATTTCTATCTTAATTTTACTAGTTTTTGTCTAATTTAAATGTGTCATATTAATAAATATTTAATTTGTTAATCTACAGGAAAACAATTATGAGAAAAACTGTTTTTTCTTTTTATCTTGGAAAAGTTAATTTAATTTCTTATTAAAGACAGAACCTAAATTCTTAACATCTAGAATAAAATTCTATTCTGGCTGTTAAGATTCTAACAATAGCAATTATGTTTTAGTTTGAATAATGTACTCTTAAAAATAAATCTAAAACTAAAAAGTAATTAAATACAGTTTGATGAAATGGTGTTTTATACACTGACAAACAATGATGTTTTAAAATTTAATTTCTGAATCTGTTTTCATCTTTAAAGCAGTGAAACATTGATATAAATAATCTCTTTAATTTAAAAAGATTAAAATCTCTAATCTTTCTGGAACAAAGTTTTTACATTAATAATTAATTGTGTGTTTATGGTAGAAATACAATTTTTTTAAACTAATTTTAAATGGAAGTTGTGTTATGTCTACAAATTGCTCTAATTTCAGGATATATTGTGTAAATTTAGAATATGATTTTCATTTTTGTTCTGTTTTAAATATAATGCTATCATTTACAAAAAAATAAATTAAATTACATTTCTTCCTTAATAGTGAACACCAAGAATTGAATGAAATGGACATAAATAGTTGAATGGACATAACAAATATTAACACTTAAAATAATTCTATTTTTTATGTTACATTATTTAAATGATATTATATATGGATAAAATTGAATAATCATATGAAAAAATAGCAGAATGAATGTTTGAACATATGGACAACAAATAAATAATTAAAATAAATAAATATATATATATTTCTTATATCTTAGAGCCATGGTATCCAAACATTTTAATTGATGGACCAAATTGAACATAGGCAGGCCACAAATACCTTGCATATTCCATATACACAAAAAGTAGGTCTATTTCTATCATTTATAAATGATGTGTCAAACATGTTCATAGGATAGATTAACATGTGCTATGAGAGAGATTTGGCTTGAGCCATAGTTTGGTTACCACTGTCTTAGAGTAAAATAATTGTTTTTATCTATGGAAGATACGAGATCCCCAATTTTTGTTAAATATATTAAATAATAATCTGTTATTTGTTAAGTGCAATAAACAGTTCATATATTAAAACTAAGAATTAAATTTTTAAAAATAAATTTAACAAAATAAACTTTCACATAAATAGAATTCACATTTACTAAAATTTATTTTAAAGAAACTTTCATGTCAGATAAGTTTTAGTTATTTAGATATAAATTATAAAAATAAAAAAAGTAATATTTAAAAGCCATATCATTATTAATATAATTATCACATAAAATGAAAACTATATGCAGAAACTTCAAACAATAAAATTACTCAGAGTGACCAAAGCTATTGCAGATTCAATTGAAGCTACTGAAAAATATCAAAAATAAGATGATGGTAAAATGTAGAAAATGTAACATTTTTAATTATTATAATGCATGGTATAAATGATAAAAATAAATAGAGTAAAACTTTGCTAATCAATACTAATTAAAATGGCTGAATAGATTGATAGATTGAAGAATAATTGAAATTAATAAAGTAAAATAATCATTTGCATACTTAACCATTTCATTTGTTAATCCAGATTGAGCTTATTTCTCATAGCTTTATTAGCTAGACTAACTGAATATTGTTTGTGATATAAAATTACTAATGAATACTGAATTAATAATTACAAAACAACACAAAAAATACTAGGTGGTTAAAATTTGTTATTAGCTGAATTGTATTATTGTTTAATACATTAAAAAAATTTTAATTTAGAATAATATTGAAATATTTTTGTGTTCATACTAATTAGAAATAAAAAATAAATAAATAAATACGCTAAATAAATAAATAAAAGCTTTTATGTCTAAAATACATTTAGCATACAAAAAGAATTACTTACCCATGAAACTAAAAACTGTCTGGCAAAAGGATTTTTTGTATAAATCCTCTCTCTTAAAAGAGGCATAAATGCAACTAAATCAAATGAAGAACTTTCAGTTACAATATCCTGTAAATATTTCAAAAATATTTTAAGAATGTTTCTTTGTGTTCTTTCTAAAAATTTTCCTACACTTAATGCTTTTTAATACAAAATTAAGTATATTATTAGAGGTAATTTTTATATTTTCTTGAGATATTTTATGCTAAATATGTTTAATTAGTTTTGATAACGATAAAAAAATCAAGCATTAGAATGGGAATAAATCATCAAGACTTTCATATTTCATATAAATTTTTCAAACAATAAAGTATAAACAGAATTTTTAAACTCAGTTAATTTTCATTACAAATACTGTGGGTAAATTTTTGAATATTTTTGAAAGATAAAAATGTATATATTTAAGTAACTTCAAACATATATTAAAGTAACAAAACTTTTTTAGATTACCAACTTTTTTAAAATAAATATGCAAAAATAAAATAAATACATAACTGAAATTTTAACATTTTTATAATGTTTATTATATTTTATTAATCTTTCTAGATATTATACAGAATGAGCATTTAAACAATTGTTTATTAAGAAAAAGAAAAAATATATTAAATTAGAGAGTTTTATTAACTCTTATTACATTATATTGTGTAATTAGTAGAGAGGTTGAGGCGCACGTTTTAAACGTGTAAATGTGTACGTGTGACGTTCGGCGCCGCTTTCCCGTAAGCCTAAAAGTTTGACAATAGTGTTTGGATAGTCGGTGGAATCACGCTCGACATTTCAAATACCATCGTCAAACTTTTAGGCTTATGGGAAAGCGGCACCGAACGTCACACGTACACGTTTACACGTTTAAAACGTGCGCCTCAACCTCTCTATTAT